CCTGTTATACTCAATGTTGGCCCTGATACGTAAGAACAATACTTGCGTGTGCCTCTATTTAGTTTACCATCTACTTCCACTATCTTTTAGCTATAAAATATTTGCCTGTACATGCGGCAGCGATTATCATTTTACTGCCACAATCAAAATAGCCGACCAGTATTACAAGTACAATGACTTACACCCAAAAGGAATATATATTTATGATGGTGCTGATAGTGTCGAAACAGCCATCTATTATTTGTTATTATGATACACTCACATACATTTTCATCGCTACTTATCTCTTCTTAAACTAATTTTTGAAGATAAAATTAAAAAGCTAATTAAAAAAGTAATTTCACAATAAATAAGCGAGTTGTTTCTTTATCTTCATGAGGTCTAGCCTGCATGACACATTCTACTAAGTAAAAATTTGATTTGAAATAATCTAAATCTAGAAAACCAGACGAAACAGCAGTAGAGAATATTGAAGTGAACTATGTTCTATGAACACATAATTGGCGATCTGTTCTTTTCTCTATTATCTAGTCCAGAAACTGTTTCTCTTAATTCCTATGTTTTTTGCTCACATTTAAAGACTATTTATTAAGTCATCTTTTCTTCCCATATTTATTCTCCTGATGATGATGTGTGAAACACATCGAAAGCTTGAAAACAAAACAAAATATTAGATTTAGTAAATATCTGATCATGTATTTGGTAGCAGTGTTATACTGATTATTCTCCTGAAACAGAATGTATAGACTTCAAAAAGACAAAAAAAAAGTGTGCGCAGTTCGGGAAATAAGGAAATTTATAAATAAATTTGATAGTGGAAATTAGTTTAAATGAATTTATTTGAAATGAGTTTGAAATATTCTTATCATTCAAATTAATTTTTAACGTTGAAACTGATGTAAAATAAATTATTTTAAAGGTAGTGATTTTACATTAATTCCGACTCTCAAAATTAATTAAGACTAATTTATATGATCGAAATTATTCCGTATGTATTTCGAAAACATTTATTTAAATGAATTTGAGCAATCGAAACTAGTTTACATCAATTTGAGAGGTTGAAATTAATTTTGGTTGAAATAAATTAGTCTAAATGAATTTGAGAGTAGAAAGCAATTTAGAGAACGAAATTATTTTAAACTCATTCGAAATACATTAATTTGAACTAATTTATTTAAAACTAATTTAAATTAATATTTTTTCAAACTAACTGGAGGTAATTTTAGCCTAGAAATTAATTTTAATTAATTTTAATTGCTCAGATTGATGTAAATTAATTTATTTCAAATGAATTTAAATTAATTTGGGCTTCTTAAATTGATATGAAATAATTTTTATCGTTTTTTGAGTAAGAAAGTAGTTTAAAAGTCCCAATGGGTAGCTAAGGAGAAGAAGCAACGAAAAGAAACATTACTTAAATTGTAACATCAAGCCTGATTTTGTCAAATGCATATTTCGTCTGTTGTTCACACGAAGAAAAGAGAGAACAGGCAAGTTTATCCCAAAATGAAGATTTGCTCGTATTTTCTCTGCTCAGGGGCGTGGAATAATGCGCCGGTGGATCTGAGCGGCCACCTAAGAAGGTTTATATTCAGTGTCCCAGAACCGACAAGACACTCACATTGCTTAGAAACGTGCGGATACACGTGCGTTATCTAGACAGGCATTAGATCTAGTGTACAAGTCATTTGTTTTAAACTTGTTCACTTACGCGTCAGCGGTATATGGAAATACATCTGACAGAAATCTTGATCGACTTGAGTCAGCACAATACAAAGCTGCAAGAGCGGTGTCAGGCGCTATGATGCACAGTTCTAAGGAGCGAGTGTTTAGAGATTTAGGATGGGAGCCGTTGCGAGTTGTTTTTAAGCGACACAGGTTAGTTTTATTTCAAAAAATAGTTACGGGAAAAACACCTTCTTTCTTAAAAACTCCGCTGCCATCACGTCCGGATCCTCCTACCGTCTTTTCATACTCACTACGAAGTCGCGAGAAGATGCTACTTCCAACTCCGCGTTGTCGTTTGAATATGTTGTACGACTCAATGATATATCGAACGGCTAGAGAATACAATGAATTACCAGTGGAAACACGGCTGATATTTCGGATACCAAAGTTTAAGAAAAGCTTATTATCGCTGAGAGAAATTCCAAAGTTACCGTACACTAGCAACAGACATGCCGACATTGATTATTGTCGGTGTCGAGTTGGATTTTCTCAGTTGAGGAGGGACCTGTATTTTCGTGTTCTTGTTTCTGACCCTTTTTGCTCATGCGACAATGTAACAGACGAAAGCCTTTTTCATTATTTTTTTGAATGTCCCTTATATGACACCGCGCGATTAGCTCTAATCTCGATATTTCAGCTGGATCTGCCTCATTTGAACTTTGTTGCTCAAACGGAGCGGTTTGTTATGCATGACTGATAAACATATTTTATTTTGATTTCCTTGCACTCCAGTCCAGAACGCAAACTATTCCTCCTTCCCTACTTCTTCTAATCTAATATGCTTGCATACTGACATGCACTTATCCATTAGTCCATTCTTTTTTTTTTAATTTTGTTGTAACCATATAGCATGTATAAAAAAGCATGTATTTTGCTAGGTTTTTGTTGAGCGTTTTATGCACTATGCAACATAGACTTGTCTGCAAGCATAGCTGCGTTTGTTTGTTGAAGTTAAATACAACTATTTTTTTTAAAAAAAAACAAGAACAAGTTTAAAAAAAAAAGAATTCAAGTATTTTTCATTTGTCCCATTTTTCCATATATTTTTTCTTCGCACTTTTTTTTCTCTAAATATGAAGCATTTTGTGATTTACCAATCAGCTTCATGTCCGAAGGTCAATGACACAAGATCAAGACAGGTTTGCTATTGCTGGGTGCAAATCCATAAAATTCTGTCCGTCATGTTTTTTTTCGTTCCATGACCTGTATTTAGAGAAAAGCAATATAAAACAACATGGAATGGAAAAAAGTCCAAAAATCGGAGAATATGTTAGACACAGGCTCGCGCGTAGCCTTTGTACCAGTCTACCAATGAAAATATGGCAAGTGCCTCTATGCACTGTGTGGTGTGCGCATTTGAACGAGATTAAGTAAAATTAGTAGGAATCCAGAAAATATTTTCAGCTTTTTCCTTGCTCTTTATGTTTAATATTTTGACGCAAAAATCTCGTGGATTTGATCACCGTAATTTTCAAGAAAGTCAAAATGCATTACCATGTCAAAACGATCAGCTGATGCACAATAAATCAGCTGATCGCTTCCAGTAAGTCACCGACCATTTGTTTTATTTTTCTTTGCATAGTATTTCTTTCGCTTCTGCATTAATATGTTGCTCATGTGCTGGTTGGTCAGCCTATAAACTGTTATTCCATATTTTCCATTTCTATGTTTTGTGGAGAGACACAGTGTTTCTAACATTACGCGTACGCCTTTGTTCCAAAGCGTACGGTACTCGAACTAAATTGAAAATACGCTTTGTATCAACCAATAGGAAAAGACAGAACGATAAAATCCACGAATTACCACGCTTATGTACGCGCTGCTCAAAATTCTCATTAGAAAGCT